TGTGACCACGCTATGGACTATTATCATAACATATAACCAAGAACACAGCTGAACAAAAAGTAATGATGCATGCTCCAGATTCAACTTTCCTCTTTCAACAAGCCTTCTGAGCAGGAGTTTTTTATTCCGATCAGAATCTCAAACTGTTTAAAATTGTTTTTATATACAGGCATCCTCCCACTTATGCGGGGCTACGTTCTGGGCCCCCGAATGCATAAGTGAAATCACGTAAAGTGTTGTTGTTGTTGTTTAGTCATTTAGTCGTGTCCAACTCTTCGTGACCCCATGGACCAGAGAACGCCAGGCACTCCTGTCTTCCACTGCCTCCCGCAGTTTGGTCAAACTGGTAGCTTCGAGACTTGTCGCTTCGAGAACACTGTCCAACCATCTTGTCCTCTGTCGTCCCCTTCTCCTTGTGCCTCCATCTTTCCCAACATCAGGGTCTTTTCCAGGGAGTCCTCATGAGGTTGCCAAAGTATTGGAGCCTCAGCTTCAGGATCTGTCCTTCCAGTGAGCACTCAGGGCTGATTTCCTTAAGAATGGATAAGTTTGATCTTCTTGCAGTCCTCTAAAAAGCATCTTTAAAATAAAAATAAAAAGGGAAGGAAAGGGATAAAAGATTTTCCTTTATAAACCGAGGGAGCGAACAAACCTGGCTCCAGGAGACCTGCGGGGCTTGAGGTCTTTAGGGGGAAATTGCGTGGGAAGCAGGGTTGGGTCAGGTTTCCTTCCTGGGTGCCGCCATTTCCCCCCTAGGAGCCCTTGCTCACTTTCCATGCAAGCAGATGCCTTCACTGTCACCACCTTCCTCTCCTCCTCCTGAGAAGGTCAGTCTCTCAGGTATGGCCACATGGGGGGGGGGACGGTGGCAGGGAGCCTCCACTTGCTCAGTGAGGCTGGTGGAGGGAAGCCAGCAGGAGCAACAGGAGTGGCAGAAGAATCCCAATGGTGGTGAAGCAGCGGGTGTCCCCTTTCCATTGCCCCTGTGCCTCTCGCCCCATTCCCTCCCTCTTCTTCCTTTCTTCTCTTTACAGTGGTACCTTGGGTTAAGAACTTAATTCGTTCTGGAGGTCCGTTCTTAACCTGAAACTGTTCTTAACCTGAGATACCACTTTAGCTAATGGGGCCTCCCGCTGCCGCCATGCAATTTCTGTTCTCATCCTGAAGCAAAGTTCTCAACCTGAGGTACTATTTCTGGGTTAGCGGAGTCTGTAACCTGAAGCGTCTGTAACCCGAGGTACCACTGTACTGGTAGTTGTCTGGGCAGCCCTGTCTTTGGGGAGCCCGGCTTGGCACAGGAGGGTCTCCAGATGAGCTCTACTTCAGTCTGTCATCTTCAGATCTCCAGCTCTCTCCAATTGTTTCCTGGTATGATTCTACTTATTTATTTCCTGTCACCACACACATACACAGCCACATACGTGTGTACGTGGGGGGATGCCTGTATAAGAACGTTTAGTCCAGCATCTTGTTCTCACAGTAGCCAACCAAGGTGGAAAATCCACAAGCACAAGAGCAACTCTCCCCTCCTGCGGTTTCTAGCATCTGGTATTCAGAAGCCCTGCTCCCTCCGAGGAGGAAGAGAAAGGCCAGCATGACCAGTGTATGTAATTGTTTCTGTATATGTACTTCTTTTACATATAACGGCATTGTGAAATCATTTTGAGAAGCATCACAGGAAGGGATACATAAATGAAGTCTAAAAATAAAAGTCATTGAGAGCCTCTTTCAAATGCTCAGTTGTGTAACTAGAAACATGAACCCTGGGGTAAGAGCTATGGTGAGCTAGGGTTAGGGCTTGGGAAATGGCAGGTTGAAATCCTGCCTCAGGTTTTGTAGAGATATTCCCCTTTCTCTCTCACAAGCAAGAAAGAATGCCTCTTTCAAGATGGCGTTTGAAAGCCTAACCTTTTTATAAGGGATGAATAAATATGATCTACTGGTTTATTAGCTTTTTAATCTATCAAAAACTGTAAGCTAATAATCTCTGCTGAATAAAAGCATTGATTTTGAATCAGAAGTTCATTTGATTAATTGATTAAAACAGTTTTATTGTTTACTATGATGAATTGATTTCATTCTCTGCAACAATTTAATAAAATTTGCAGATTCAGCAGCAGCACTTTTTAATCGAAACATTTAATTGATTAATCTAACATAGGGTGGCAACTTTTTTTTCTGTTGAGGGTCTCATTCCCTTGGGGTAAATGGTTGGGCAACACATGCTGACTGTTCAAAGCTAGCAGTTGGCAAGAACAAAGTTGGGGGATGCCTCCCTAATCTACCTCCCTTTACTCTGGTTGTTGTGGAAGGAACAGCCTGCTTTTGCAAGGGGTCTCCACTGACGCTCACAGAATCTTTTTGAAGGTATGCCAAGGGCTGGAGACTGTTCACTCCTCAGCTCACCAATGTCTTGACTACATTTCTCAGCCTTGATAAACACTGGATAAAGGGAGGCCTCTAAGGTGGGGTGGGGGGCAACCTCAGGCTCAGAGGTGGCTGAATCTGGCCTTCTAAATTTACTCAAAAGAATTTGAGCTCAAAGGAGATCCTCAAACTTAAGACACTTGCTGATTTTTTGACATCTGATAAACTTCACAACTTGTTTTTGTGTGTGTGTTGCGCCTAAATACGACAGACTCTCTCACTTAGAGCTGCAAATTTAAGCAATTAAGATTTGTAGTTAGGTAAAAGTCTTGATCTTTTTTGTTAACTGATGCAGATTTTATTATACTGAACTGTTTAAAAGCATTAATAAATATGAATAAAAATATTCTTGTTCTGATGGCACAAGATTAGACAGCTATGTCCTCTCAGACCAGCTTATTATATGAACAAATCAGACCTCTCTGGACCTCTAAGAGGGGCTGTTCTAGGCCTCTCTATTGGTCTTGCTTCTCACCCTTCTTGTGTGTTTTTGTTCCTGGCTAGAATATGCCCTTGAACTCTGATAATGCCTTTTGTTTGTCTGTGAGTAAGATAGAGGTGTGTATGTACGAAACTAGCCTCCTATACAAATGTAACATTAACATTTGTTGCCCCGCACACTTTGGCTCCAACCAACACCGGCATGTGGCCCCTGGAAGGCTGCACAGAAGGAATGTGGCCCTCAGGCTGAAAATGATTTTCCCACTCCTGCTCTAAGGCACCCGCACTGTGAATCAGTAATACAAGTAAACATGCTCACATATTAACTCCCTTGATAATAATCTAGAACCCATCTCTTTGGAAAGTTGTAAGAACCATCCTCACAGGCAACACTGCCACTGACTTCATTAGAAGAAATGGTGCAACAACAATGTGATATATAAATGAACAAAATAAAGGGTACAAAATCAACGAGAGGTATATATATATATATATATATATATATATATATATATATATGCAAATGCATGAATTAGGGAGGCAGAAATCTGACCCTCGGTTGCACAGAGAGGCAGTGGTGCTTGTGCCCCATGTGACTCAGGGTGCTGGGGTGTATCTGTTTGCCCCTTACGATAGATAGTAAGCTTCACAAATGCCATGTTCAAGCAGCTGAGTCAAAAGGGTTAAGGCCCATGAAACAGCACCCACGCAGGAGAAACAGAATTAGCAGGAAGTTGGAGTTGTTGGAGAATATGTGAAGCTCTAAGTAACAGCTGAGTGGCAGTGTTGGCAACAGCAGCTGGCATGTCAGGAATAGCTATGCGAGGATCTGGAAGGGAAAAACAACAAAACGCCAGAAATGCCCCCCCCATGCCCCTGGGGTGGTGGTGTAATTTCAGTGGAAGTCGGGAGGGAGACCAGAATTCTGCAAGGAGGCACCTTCCAGAGCTTGGGACTACAACTCCCATCAACCCTGGCCATTGGCCATGCTGCCTAGGGGCTGATGGTAGTTGTAGTCCCAGCAATGTCTGGAAGCACCAGGTTGGGGAACGGCTAGTCTCCAGTCTTTAGATCCCACCCTATGCACCATTACTAGGGAGCAAGCCCCACTGTGGTAAAAGTAGCATTGTGCTTTAAATCAATCCAAGACTGAGCCACAAAGACTAAATAAAACATAAACGGAATCCCCACACAACAGATTTTAAGAGGCTTTGTTGAAATTATTTCATGTGCATTCTTAAGTACATGGACCCATTTCACTGTTTGAAGTCACAGCCACTGCCATGATTCTGAGAAATAGCACCTTTCTCAAATGCACCCTTGACAGGACCTTTTGCAGAAGCAGAGAAAGGTATTGTGTTTAAACTTTTTTTTAGTTTGCTTTTCCTTTACAGCAGGGAAAGAACAGAAATTATTAGGAAAACCACTGACAAAAAAAAAGAAGAAAAGAAATAGTGAGCCATCTATGACATATGAGCTGACAATAAGAACACAGGAAACAGCCTTAAATCAAGACTAGCCGCCAGCACCAGGATCCCCGGATCAGGCTTCCGGGATGAATTTTTCCACTAGATGGGAGCCTGGGACTAAGACCAGTCCCATTTTATAGAAGAGTTCTGCTTCCTGCCTGCTCCCCTCTACCCAAGACTGACAGACTCCCTTTTATCTTTTAGGGGCATGGCTTCTTCTTGGCCCCTCCCTCCACACAGATTAGCAGAGTGGCTCCTCATCCCCCAAGAAACCAACACACGAGTCCTCTACTTTTAGGGGGTATGGCATCTTCTCAAACAGGCTGCAGCTCCAGGCTTATTAGGAACACAGGAACTGCCTTATACTGTCAGACCATTGGTCTATCTGGCTCAGTACTATTTACACTGACTGGCAGCAGCTCTCCAGGTCACAGATTCAATCCCCTGGATGGTATCCAATGCCAGTCCTTCTCAGAGTAAACCCATTGAAAATACCATGCACGACTAAACTTAGGTTCATTACTTTCAGTGGGTTTAGCCTGAGTAAAACCTGGAGACAACCTCTTGTATGAAACCCTAATGAGCCACTGCAAATGAATGTGGATAACATTGGGCTAGATGGACCAACCACCTGACTCTGTCTAAGGCATTTTCTAAGGGTAGGGTTGTAGCTCAGTGCCAGAGCATCTGCCTTGCATGCAGAAGGTCCCAGGTTCAATCTCTGGCAGCATCTTAGCAGGGCTCTGATGAGTGTGTGGCAAAGGCAGGGGGACGGAGGCTAACTCAGAAGAGAGGGGCAGCAATTTATGGGGTTTGGTGCCACCCATGAGTCAGGAGCCTGGGCTAAAGGAAGGGGAAGGGTCCAAGCAGTCAAGAGACGGAGGTGGGGGTGCAGGAATAGGCTGTTCAGGTGAGGGGTGGGCTGGTCAAGTCTCCACTGCCCTCTTCCCTGCTATCTCCTAGAACCAGAAGGGGCTTCAAGAGGGAAGCGCAGAAGAAGTCTCAGGTTGCATGCATTCTGCTTCTTCAGATGAGGGTACTTAAGCTGGGGGTGGTGGAGGTCCCACTGTTGCTTCAACTGCTCAGTTGGGAAACTTAATGCCAGCTATGTAGTCACTAGGAGCATGTGTATCCAGTGCACCTTAGGAACTTCTGGAAGCACGTGCTTTTGTCAATAAAGAATTAAACTACTGGCTGCTTGTCCACCTTGGCTGGGTGTGCTCAGGACACATCTCCAGGAAGGACTGTGAATATCTCCTGCCTAAAGCACATCCAATCAGTGCAGACAATATGGACCTAGAATGGACCCAATGATCTGACCCAGTGCCAGGCAGCTTCCTATGTTCCTGCCTTGGGAACAGTGCAAGAAAATGGCAAAACTTTAATATCAACAATACAGAAGAAGTAATCTTTAGCCTTGCTGCTTCAAACATCAAATCAAGGGTAGCCTATACCATGACCCCTAAATGTTACTGGACTGCAACTTCCATCGTCCCCAACTGCTGGCCAAACTGGTGGGGGCTGATGGGAGCTGGAGCCCAACCATAGCTGGTAAGCCACCCCTGCATCAGAGACCGAACAAATCTCCTGTTTCTCCAAGAAAATAACAACACAAGGTTAACCATGCAGCACCCCCACAAAAAGACCCACATTCCCTTATTGCTTCAATGTACTAGTATATTGCTTAATGAAAGTTCTTAATTGTAATTCAATTAATTACATACACAGCGTCCCCAATTACATTTTCCAATAAGACATTGGCTTTGGTACAGGTCTAAAGGCACTTAACCAATTTTAATATATTAAGACCAATTTCCCTTGAATACTAATTACTATCTAACGATGAAATGAGAACCAGGAACTTTCCAGAAGCTGGGTGGGAGGTATAAAAGTAAATTAAGCGTGAATAGTTGGGGGACCTCGTAAAAGAGAGAGAGAGAAAGAGAGAGAGAGGAGAAAAAAAATAGGCAACGGCATTCCAAATACGAGTCTTACTGTATGTTTCAAAAGTCCCAAATATGGGAAGTGTTTTGTTAATCCTTTTGACAGCAGCAAGGGCTCTGTGGAAAAGGAGACATCTTGCTGTGTATTTGTGCTAATGCAAAGCCCTCTTTTTTAACTTAATCCCTTTGAAATATAAATGATACACTGGCTGAAAGAGAGAATTTTGGCTTGCATTTCACTAGCATCTGTTCAGCTCTGTGCAGAGAATGGATGGATATCCTCTCTCTCACACATATATCACACACAGTCATATATTGCACATATACATATCACACACACATTACATACGTACCGTGAGTGGATCATCTGAAATAACTCTCGTATGGAAACTCCTTTATCAGAATAAACAACTAACTTTAATTACAGCAGCTAAAATTAGACCGAAACGTATCGTGCAATTGCAGCCACTTCCAAAGGATGTGAAGAGCTCATTCACAGCTGTCCAATTCCTCACATTTTCTTTCCCCTCCACTTTGATATGCCTTAAATACTGAGTTAAGAGAAAAGAAGCAGCAAACTTAAACATATTGAGCTATGAGATAATGCCCTCTTAAACGAGAGCCAGTGTGGTATAGCGGCTAGAGTCTGGGACTTGGACCTGGGAAATCAAGGTTCAAATTCCCACTCAGCCATGAAGCTCTCTGGGTGATGCTGAGGACCAGTCACTCCCTCTCAGCCTCACCTACCTCACAGGGTTGTTGTGTGGATTAAATGAGGGGGTGAACCAGGAATGCCACCTGGAACCCCTTGGAGGAAAAAAGACGAGATAAAGATATGATAAGCAAGGAAGCTCACTGGAATCTAATCCTTAGAAAATATAAGTTAGTTGGCTTGGGCTGTTTCTTTACTTGTGTGCTTATTTATTTAGAATACTTACATTATGCTTTATAGCTTCAAGAAGTTCTCAGAGACACTTACAAAAGAGCTTCAGAAGTCTCATGACCTTTGAGTCAAGGGAGTGGACCTCACTCAGCCCATGATGATCTATTGACATCAGACAGGCTCTTTCACCAAACTCTTTTGGGGGCCTGCTTAAAACATTTTTGTGTAGACAAACTTATGCTACTTTAAACAGTTATGGCTTCCCCAAAAGCATCCTGGGAGCTGTAGTTTGTTAAGGCTGCTGAGAGTTGTTAGGAGACCCTTAGTCCCCTCCCGGAGCTACAATTCCCAGAGTCCCCTGGGAAGAGGGACTGATAGTTAAACCACTATTGAGAATGCTAGTTCACGCACCCACCTTTCAGATTTGGCCTGCGAGGTTGATCTTGATAAGGATCCAGCCCATGCAGCTAAAATGGTTCCCCACCCCAGTATGTAAGAATGACCTGATTGGTCAATGAGCAATGGATCTGGTGGGCTGGTTTAAGAGATTAAAGATTATGTGGTTTAGAAATGCTTTTAAACAAATAAAAAGTAGAAGGAATGCTGGTAAAAGCCTGAGAAGAAGGGGTCAACCTCTGTAACAAGCCAGGCCATCCTTGCTCAGGTTTCTTGGAGCAGAAGGGTAGATCGGTGACTGGGGCAGGAGAGAGAGGGAGAGGGAGAGGGAAAGGGAGAGGTTCATAACAGGCTCGTAACTTCACAAGCACAGAGGTTAGCAGAAAACAGATTAATCATGAAGTGATAGGGTGCAGACTATTTAACCGAAAAGGTATGGAAATCAATCACTGTAGTTTTGGAAAGAGAAGTCTTTCTGGCAGGGAGGGAAGATGGCTTTGGGGGGCGGTTGGGAAGAGGAAGGAAGAAAATAAAGAAATAGCCAGATCTTCTTCCAACTTTGCTTGCCCAGCCTGGGGGATCTAGAGGACATAAACAATGTGACCTTAAGCAGCTTTTACGAGAGAGCAAGAGAGGGAGGGAAAGGGCCAACAACGTACTATTCTCGCGGACGAGGCAGAATTCCAAAGTGCTCTGGCTCTCCAAGGTACAGTCTAAGTCAACAGGGACGTTGGGCTCGTTCTGCTTCTCCAGCCGGTACTGAGGGCCTGAAAACAGACAATACATTTACAGGATTTCTTTCAGCTTGGGCAGGGGGGAAGGGGGTATTTTTTTTTGGAGGGAGGGGAGAAATAAAACATTGAAGCAGGGGTGGGGAACCTCAAGCTCAAGAGTCAACTGTGGCCCTCTAGGCCTCTCTATCTGGCCCTCATAACTCTCCCCGAGCCACATGCCATATTCCCTTAGCCACACAACCTCATTGGTTCTGGCTCATACAGTATTTTTGATTGTCCAGAATATGTCCTTGAACTCTGCTGAAACTTCTTACTTCCATGGATGAAATAGAGAGGGATGTTTAGAAATTAGCCTGCTGAACAAAGATAAAAAATTATCCTGATTGCTCTGCCCACTTCTGCCTCATGGCCCTGGCCATGCAGCTCTCAGAAGGTTTTCCAGAAGGGATTGCGACCCTCAAGGCAGAAGATAGTTCCCCACATCAGCATTAAAGGACTCCAGATGAGACAGAGTCTGAACAGATAAATAGTGAAGACCACATTTAGTTATTTATACTTCTTAACACCCCTCTGCCCTGTAAGGCAGACCAGTATTGTTCCCATTTTAGTACTGAAAGAATGTAGATGTAGAGCAAATTGATTTGTGCCCCAAGAAAAATCCCACCCACTAATTCCATGCCTCAAGGAGGGATCTGAATTTAGTAATCTGGCAAATTCCAAATGGTGTACCAGGGTGCATTGGTGTACCATAAGGGAACTTGTGTGATGGGACATAAAGTTAATTAGATAATTAAAGACTCCTGTGATCATAATGCACCTGCCCATTCAGAGATGCCCTGCTGTCTAATTCTGCTACATTGCACCGAGATATGAATGTATACCTTCCCACCCTGGGAAAAGGCTCCCTTCTGCGTCTGTGCACGAGTCATGATCTGGCCTACCCTCCCTTCCAGGAAGTCTTCACTTGAAGATAGAAAACTCTTATACCTCTCTGCATCAAGTATAAGCAGATCATTCAGTCCTTCTAAATAAAGAAAATGTTCAGCATCAGATGAGGTTGCCTGCTTCACCTCTTTATGAGTCTCTGCTTTGTGCAGGCTTCTTCCTAATCAGGAACACCCAGATCAGCAACAACCAGGCCCTCAACTCAGTGAAGGAAGAATCTGCTTTGAGGGCAAGTCATTAAATATTACAACACACACTGGAAATCAACCCCTCCAGTTTTAATGCAGAAAACAGTAACAGAGATTTGGTAAACGCTGTTCTAATTCAAAGGCATGTGATGACCACTCTCAACCTTTGACTCCTTTAAGGCTCTGAAACGCTTCTCCTTCTCTTAAGAATTTGTGGAGTGGCTGTAATGGGTTGCAGGAGGAAGGTGCAGAGAAAAAGAGCAGACAATGCTTTCTCTGGAACGGGAGTTAAGTGTCTCATCGTAATCCTCTCATAATTCAAACTCAGCAAAGCATTTACAAATATTTAAAAAGCACAGGCAAAAACAAAAACGGGCGCCTCGGACATCACATTGGTTACGAGATGGAACGTGTTAAGACAATTAATTTCAAAATTTACGGCGGCTGGGTTTCAATTATGGCTCCTCTGCCCTTCCTGCTCTCCCCCCCCCCCCCAGCCCCAGTCGTGTGAAGAGTACTCTCCCTGTGCCAGTGTAGTTTGCTCTTGATGCAGCATTGATTTGTCGGGGAAAATGAATACTCTCTCTCTCTACTCTTGGTGACTTTCTTGAACAGATGCAGAAAAAGCAGCCGATTTGTGGGCTGCAGGGGGGGAAAGCGCAGCGAGTCCCCATGTGGCTGGCGCAATCAGAAATGGCACATGTAGCTGGTTCCAGGCATTTAGGAAACCAATTGCACTCTGAGAAACAAGCAACTAGCAAAAAAAAAAAAAAAAAAAAAAAAGGAAAGGAAAAAAAGGCGCACGTGAATGCACACGCACACACAAAGAGGGATAGGAGAGGTGAGAGAACAAAGCAAAATAAAAACAAAACAAAACCACTTGCACACAAAAAGAAACACAAAGCATCCCAGAACAAAGTGGAAAGCACTTGCTCATCTTTTATAAAAAAGAAAACACCCCTGTATGCGTGTCTGTGATAAATCCAAAGCCCACAAGCTAGGAAAGGAACAAATGGTGGTGGTGGTGGGGAATAAGTTGTGTCAAATAAGGAAAAACACATTTTATCCATGATAGCTTTAAAAAAATAGAACAAAAAAGGCATTGCCATGAGTGCCAAAAGCAGACGCTAAAATGGAAACTGTGTGCGTGTGTGTATTGTCAGACGTGGATTAAGAACTGAGCAGCCCTGTGTAAAACAATCCTCAGAGCTGAGAACAGCCCCCGCTCTTGGCACCCGTGGCTGGAAAGATCCCAGTTGCCACATTTGCTTAGAAATTTGCTGCTGGCACCCATTAATGACACAACGGCTTGGAAACTGTTGTGTTGATTAATGGTCTGCCTTTTGATCAATTAATGGATTGTCTTTAAAATCAATTGGTATGCCTCCGAAACTTTTAAGAATATGGGTGCTTTTTATATATAAAAAAGATAGTTGAAAAGTATAAAATGGATTACAATTCAACCAAAGGAAGCTACCTGCAAGAAAGGCTAAGGGATGGGTTTTCCTTTCCATCCCTAATTATGGGAACTAACACACAAGGAAAAGGAGTAGTCTTAAAACCAAGAGGTATACATTTGACATTTGCCGCAGGCAATCCATACATGAAGTGGCATATATTTGGATGTGATTTTAACCTGGAGCTTCCATGTCCATTCTCCCTGTTTTCCACTGTTTGCTGTTTCAAGCAACCCTCCTCTGTAGAAACTGCTCCACACCAAAAACTCCCCCACTGAAACAACAACGAACAAAGGTATACATGGAAAATGTCCTTTTTGGGTTTTCTGAGGAGAGGGGAACTCTAGATTTAGCAGGGAGAAAATTTGGGGCAGAAGTTGCTTCTGGTGAACGTTTTATGGATGATGTGGAAAGGAAAGACACACATGAATGTGTGGAGCCTACAGCTCATATAGAAGCTCACAGTCTGAGTTGTTTCATCACAACAGCTCATTTGCAAATTCTAGACTTAGTAACTGGGGGAAATGGGACACAGAAATGATAGCTGTTGAATATATATTTCTGCAGCTTTAGCCACAGTGACGGGGGCTGCTGAGAGCTGGAGTCCAAACAAGATCTAGAAGGGCTATGTGTTTCTCAGCCCTAATCCAAGAGGCACCCTCTTTTGTCTCTTGCATGAAATAGGGAATACCACTTTTTAGATTGGATGAAGGATCTGTGGCCCTCCAGATGTTGCTGGTCTACAACACCCATTAGCCCCAGCTAGCCTAGCCAATGGCCAGGGATGTTGGGAGATGAGAATCCAGCAACATCTGACTACTGCAGCTGGTGATGGGAAGTAGCTGGTAGTTCAGTGAGTACAGCATGAGACTTTTAATCTCGGGGTTCTGGGTTCGAGCACCACATTGAGCAAAAGATTCCTGCATCACAGGGGGTTGGACTAGATGGCTCTTGTGGTCCCTTACAATTCTATGATTCTATGATTCTTCATGGGAAATGAAAACGGAGCAGGAGTGATGGTTTTAGGAAGGCACACCGTGACAATGGGAGAGTTCCTAGATTAATCAAAAAGCAAAGGGGATTCCTAGAAGTGACTTCCAGTGGTGGCTATCATTGTTGTTGTTAAGATTTTTTATAATGCCTTCCAACACTGACTTTGGAAAGCAGCATACAAAATAAACATCAAACAAATAATGGTCACAATAAAATATAATAAACTTATCTTTTTAAAAAAGCAAACCAATGAACTACCAGCAAGAGAAAAAGTGTGTTAGTATGAAAGCAGGAACATTGGCTGCTTCTAGAAAGGGGTGGGGGAAAGGAGGAGCTACATATAATATACAAATTCATGGAAGAGAAGTCAATCTATGACCATTGGCCACAACACCTAAACAGAAGCTCCAGCTTCCTCTGAAGTCTACCCACAAAAAAATACTTGCTGGGGAAATCACTGGTGTCTTCATGCCCTGATTACCCAGAGGCCACTGGGGTGTGTGTACATAATCACCCATTTGTAACTGATTATGTAATTTCCCTTTATTTAACTCTGCTGGAAGGCATGTACTCAGCCCGGGGGAAAAACTAAATGGTGTGAGGTTGCAGCCACAGCTTAGTTGCAAAAGTCCTGGGTTCAATCCCTGGCATCTTAATGTAGCACTGGGAGAGACTCCGTGGGTTGTACCCAATGCTAGTCCTATTGAGAGGAGGCCAGCTGAAATTATTACTTTATCTGTTAGTCACTTCTGTCGCAGAGTGACACAAAGTGACTTACATCAAAACCAGTTAAGAACAAGTCTAGCAAAAGTATAAAACCACATATCTACAGAGAAAAGGCAGGACTTACAGACCCAGTTAAAGGGGCTGCAAGGCCACAGTTCAGATTCAGGGCTGAAAGACTAGGTAAATAGAAAAGTGTTTGTCTGGTGCCTAAAAATAAAGACGGTGCCAGGTGTGCCTTCTTGGGGAGAGCATTCCACAAATGAAGACACAATCTTGTGTTGCCAGTCTCTAAACCTCCCATGGAGGGGACACATGAAGACAGGCCTCAAATGGTGATCCCAGGGTCTGGGTGGGTTTATGTGGGGAGAGGCGGTCCTTGCAGAACCTGGGTTCTGAGCCATATAAGGCTTTATAGGTCAAAACCTGATCTTTGCATTAAGCCTGGAAACAAATTTGTAGCACACAACTAATAGGTCAATTGATTCTAGTAGGTCTACTCTGAGTAGTGCTTAGTTGGGCACAACCTCCACGGATGCTGCACTTCAGCCACAAGCAGTCACATATGTAGGGCTGCTAACACTAGAATGTGTTTGGTAAACAATCCACATCTCCCTCACTGCCCCCCCCATTTCACAGTTTTTTTGTTTCCTGACCTATTGCTTAAACATTTCCCTTCTAGCAGCTGGTTTCAAAATTAAAAAACAAAACAAAACTGAATGTGACCTGCGAAGGTTAACAATTCTGCCTTCTTATGCTGCACCCTGCCAAAAAGAGAGAGAAAAAGCCCCTCCACCCCCAGATGACGAGATGTATAACCAAATTAAACAATTCCCTCAACAAAAGAGTGAAAAGCTGGACCCTATTATACTGAGCCATCCCGCTGGCCGGTTAAATTGCAAAAGCCTTCAGAAAGGCTTTTGAAAGCCTGACCCATCAGTTCTAATTTTTAAAACTTATCCTTTCAGTCAAAGCGAGAAAAAGGCCCAATTCCAACTTTTATCTCTGCTAAGAAAGTGCTGTTATCTCGGGGGCTGATGTCAGGGAGCTCTATCTCTCTTTCTGCTGACAAGCAGAGACGAGGAGAGATAAGATTGGGAACGAATCTCACTTCTCAGAGTAAATAAATAATCAATACTCATCTAAATGTAAATGAGAAAGTATCCCCCTCTGATAACAGGACTCTTATCAAAGAGCCAATTTTCCCAGAGACACTGGGCCTCCGCCAAATCACCATCACTCTGCCTGGACCCTAATGGCTAAAAATGGTCACTAAATTGAACCGATCACCAGAGATCAAGTAAGTTTGGGCCTGGGCTACTTTCACAGCCCCAATGTTTGGGAATGCAATTGTGCCCCCATTAACTTTCAATAGCAATGAAGAATGCATAGGTCAAGGAAGTTGAAGCTGCAACAATAAACCTCGAAACCTGTTCTTTTTGCTTCCCCCCACCTTCAGGAAAATGAGAGAAGCAAATGCTATAAACAGGTTCCCCCCCCCCTCCCCTACTCTTTGTTTTTTTAAAGGCTGTAAGAAAGAGAAAGCTGTGAATTGGGTCAAAATTTCAGAAAGATACCTTCCTTTTTTTTGGTACTGATGAGTTGTTTTTAAACAAAGATGTGGAATAAACTGTTGTTTGCCAGAAGACACTAAGTTTGATCCTGAGAAGCCAGCATGGAAAAAGGATGCTTTACGTGAATTCCTCGTAGATTGTGTGTCTACTGAAATGAACATGCGTAAGAGTTCCAAAACACTATAGAGTGGAAAAAATATTATTACTCCTTTGATGTGGATACTTAGCTGTTGGGTCTGCCTGAACTGCACGGTCTCTGTTTCAGGAACAGTATCTTCAGATTTATTCTGCCAATCTGTAAAGCCGTAAGCTTTCTCGGGATTGTGTTACCAGAAAGACTGCCTGCCCCTGTACAGATCTGTAAGATCACTTAGATTGTGTGTGGGAAATTCTACTCATGGTACTGAACCCAGCAACATTTCATGGGGGGGGGGGAGGGTGACCCAGAAACGGGCATTGTCTGCTGTTACTCCTATACTGCACAATACCCTCCCCTCTGGTAGGTGGCAACCACTTCTTGCTTCAGACACCTAATAAAGACATATCTTTTTGCCCAGGACTTTCCTGAACCATAAGATTAGGCCCTCTTTTAAGTGTTTGCATCCTCTGGTTTTCTGTTTCATTTGCTTTTATGTGGTTTTATATTGTTGCTTTGTGTTTTTTGTTTGTGCTTTAACAATATGTTTGTTTTATAAACTCACAGGATTGTAGAGTTGGAAGGGACCCAGGGTCATCTAGTCCAACTCCTGCAATGTGTTAAACCACTGGCTAGAAGAACATAAAAACACAAGGAAAAGCCTGCTGGATCAGGTCTATGGCCCATCTGGTCCAACATCCTGTTCTCACAATGACCACCCAGATGCCTGTGAAAACCCTCAAGCAGTATTAAAACACAAGAGCATCCTGCCCTCCTGTGGTTTCCAGCAACTGCTATTGAGAAGCATTGCTGCCTCCAACTGTGGAGTTAGAGCATAGCCATCCTGTCTACTAGCAATTAATAGGCTTCCCTTGGTTTCCAGCAACTGGTATTTTGAAACATGACTGTTAAGCCCATCGGTTCCCAGGGGTCTCTCCCAGTTCCATTCTGCTCCCCAGTCCTGTGGCTGCGCATTCAACCCTCTATGGAACTGGTGCTGGGAAGCAGTAGGTGTTGCTAGACTGGGAAGGGCCACAGCTCAGTGACAGGGCACATGCTTGGCCTGCTGAAGGTCCCTGGGGTCCAGATCACTGGCATTTCCAGCTAAAATGATCAGAGAGCATGTGATGGGAAAGACCCCCCTCTACCCGAAACCCCCAAGAGTCATCACTAGGGATGCCAGAGTATTCCCAACAAAAATGGAATCGGAAACAGAAACTGCTGTGGTCCATGTATTCGTCTGCAGTCAGGAATTGAAACCAGCATTCATTCACACTGTTGTTGCTGTTTAAATCTGCAAAAGCAATGCAATTAATGAAGGTGTCCTCTTTTTCATTATTCTGACATTTCCTTGACACTGAAATGAATGTAAGTCTTATGTTATGATGTAGCTTACAAAACTACTTATGTTAAATTAAGCATACACCTTGTTTGTTGTGACTGCATCCCCTCCTCCCTATTTTTTTCTCCAATTGTTATTATTTTTTAAAAAAAAAAGTTGTATTTTAATTTATCGTAATCTGCACTGGGATCTTAGGGTAAAGGGAAGGTAATGAATTAAATAAAAATAATAAAAATAAACAACAACATTAGCAGCATAATAGTGGTCACTGAAATGAAAAACATAATATATCATGGAAACTGAATGGAAACAGTGCTGACATTGACATATACAAGTCAGAATGGAAATTGCTGCCTTCTAACGTTTCTAGTCACTGCCAGTCAGAGTGGGTGAACCAATAGTTTGACTTCCTATGTCAAACTGCTTCCTATGTCCATACTAAAGTAGATTTTCTTTCCTCTCTGAAAAAGGAGGAAGGAAAAGCCAGGGAAGCCTTAAAGCTAAAAGTAGCTCAGTTCTTTATCAGATAGAAAGCAAATTTTTATAGAGAACTTTCAGGGGGAAATCACCTTCTGTGGTTTGGCTTGGAACTGGCGCAAGCCCTTTTGTTTATTTAAAATATTTATATACAGCTTTTTTCAAAAAAGAAAAATGACAATAGCTCAGTGCAGTTTAAAGGCTATAGGAAAGCGAGAGAGGTGAAAGCCAGAATTTCTCCATCTGTTCAGCTTCACCCTCCCATTGGGGGTGGGGTGGGAAGTGAGGATTAGGTGAGCCAGAGAGCCAGCCAATCCATGGTGCTAACTGCTGTAAGGCTTCCAGGTCTGCTGTACCTGCACACATGGGCCACTTGTTGCTGAATGAGGCAAACAGGCCACCCCTTTACACTTCTTTATTTCTTAGTCTGTTCTGGGTTAAGTGCCATCCATCAGATTTGGTTGTTTGGTCTACGCTTCTTCACACAATGCAGGGTTAAAACTATAGAACTTGCTCCCAGAGGAGGCAGAGATGGCCACTAACTTGGATGGCTTTAAAAGAGGATTGGACAAATCTATGGAGGACAAAGCTGTCAATGGCAAGTAGCCACGATAGCTATGCCACAGGCCTACTTGAGGGTTTCCCAGAGGCATCTGGGTGGCTACTG